GTTGGGGGAGGGGGGACATTCTGGTGAATGAGCCACTAACAGCAATTGGACTAAGCTCTACGGAGGCGAAGGAGCTTCGATAAGACCTCAGCAGCGTTTCTTCCCTCTTCTGGTTTAGCCCTAGTGTCACCCACCATCTGCCCTGGGCGTTCGTGTCCTTGGGAGGGGGAGGGGACATCCAATGTGAGTGAGCCAATTACTGTGCTTGGGCGCTAAGCTCTGGGAGGGAAAGGGATCCTGGGGAGCACGTGAGCAATTTGTGTTCTCCCTGGCGTTTCTCCCCTTTTCTAGGCTTAGCTAGGCTTAGTCCTAGTCTCACCTACCATCGGTCCTGTTTTGAATGTCCCCTCCCCCTCCCCTGAGAACATGAGCACGTTATGCTGTAATTTTGTTAAGGTGAATAGAGGTGTTTTTGATTTACGATGCTATGCCAAAAATCTTTATTATATGGATAACTTTTGGAGTTTGAGATGATGCTGAGGTGGATCGCACCTATTTTTAGTGCTCCCGAGCCTGACGAAAGCGATAAGGTCGAAACGTGAGATGAAAGCAGGCCGAAATCTGAAATGAAAGAAGAGTGAGATGAAAGCATTGCAGTTCTCGATTACTGCATACTGTATACTGACCTATTTCGTGCATGGTTTCACACTTTATACAGATTTCATGGTTTGCGATCGCACAATGGGATAGGCGATTGGGCAAGTTTTCAAAAGGAAAACATACGTATCGATCAGGCGATTAGGCAAGTGGGCGAGTAGGCGAGTAGGTGAGTAAGAGGGAAGAAAGGCATCGTAACGACGTGTTTGCCCCGCCAATTGAACGATCTCCATGTCGGCTACTCACTTAATGGTCTAATGGCCTACTAATCCATTCGATAAAAAAAAGGATAAAGCATTTGCCGTTGATCAATCCCTTTTGGGATGCGGCACGCATTCTACTTCCATTTGTACATTCGTAGTGGCGTTTGAATGCGATGTGGCCTATACAATGACTTGCGGGGGCCAGCCGATGTACAAGTCAGTGTTTTTATCCTCCCAGACAAGTCTGGTACCAATTAACCGACCCCGGAGGGATGGAAGGCTTGGTTGGCCCGGGCGACTCACGACCCAGGATTTGATCCCCGGACCGCTCGCGTGGTAAGCGTGCCACTTGCCACTACACCACTTCCGCCCTCCAATCGATACGTATCCTTTTTAATGGCTTATGACCGTCTGATCGAACTATGAATGCCGCCTTGCACACATGCCTTTTCCAGCAAGCAGGGGTGAAGACCTTCTGAGCCGGAAAATTGAGCTTACGATTTCGTGGGCAACCTTCAGCACCCTCAATTTAGTCATCGTAACAACACTTTGCTGAGCTTAATCGTGGAAAATTGAACTGGGCGATTGATGAAAAACGTTTCACTAGATTTGTTCCGCTTCTGTATAGAAGAAGATCTTGCTCATTTTAGCTGAACGCACTCAGAAAATATACAAAGCTTGTTAAGGACGTGGTAAGAATGTTCACTATTCTGATAACTCGGATGGGACGGAAGTGGGAGCCGAAGTCGGCGGAATATGTATTACCGATTGGCCCAAAGTTAAAGGCAAACTCCGGGATTGAACTGGTGCTATCAGCGCTTCGTAGTGATAGCTTAGCTGCGGAACGACCTGAAAGTGGAAAGGAAAGCAAGAGAAATCTTTGGGAACGCTGAAATTAAGGCCTTAACCTTCAATAGGTCGGATGTGGTACGATGGCGAGACAGGGCGGTCAAAGAAGACAAAATACGCGAGAGAGCACGTCGTTTGAGAGAGCACGCTGATCTCACCACATCTCGCGGTGGGTGGGAAGCGTTGGGGTCGATGGTTGCAGGCCCGTAAGGATTAGCGCCCTAACCGCGCAATTTTTGCGACGAAGCTGGAGTGATCTAGGTAGGTACGGACCTTACAATTTCCCTCGGTATCCTTCCTACTAGTCGGGCTAATCCCGGGGTTTGCCTTTAAGTATTGCACTTCCTATAGAAGGCCAGTACCCAACGTTTATGAAGTCCTGTTCAGGAACACACAGAAATCATTCAGAACGTAGAAGACAAGCTCACCCAGTTTTCATCGCGAAATGCAGCGAAACGCTAGTCGTTACTGATCTAACAGGACGTCAGAAACGCTAGGAGAGGCGGGCGCGCGACAGTGTGCAATGTTTAACAAGGGAGGTCGTTCAGGTTGTGGAAAGCTTCTTCAAAATGGTTTTCTGTATCTTATAGGGGCTCAAGCATGTTCTGCAAAACCGTTGCCCATTTTCGTAGAGCGGCCCGCGATGGCTGGAAAATGTTGAAAATCTGTCTAAGATTCAGTCCGTTGTGTGACAAAAATTTTTAGCATCTAAGGCGAAGTTTCAAATCTTTTCCGATAGGCAACTGGCGTCTTACATAGGTATCATTATTCGATTAGTAAACCACCAGTAACTATTACATCAGTTGTTTACTGTGATTCTTAGAGAAAAAAAAGTTTGTACTACAGGAGGGCGCCAATGGCGCCGGAGTGGCGTAAATTGGAGCTATCGGAAATATGGAGATGTCATATCAGGCCCTAGATCCCCCTCAAAAAGGAAGTTTTAGAGGAACTGTGATTTTGACCTAGGTCCGAAAAATTGGCCATTGATGGGTAGTAGCTTATGGCACCTCCAGCCGTGAGTTGAAATTTATTTCCTCATTATCTTCTAAAATAATAAATAAAAGTCCAAGTGGGGTACGGCGCCGTAGTGGGACACAAAGCTGGTGATGGACATCAGACACGCATGATGTTGAATATGGCAATTCTTCTCTTCATCAAGACGTGGTACGTTAGGTCCACAGCTTCCCCATTTGCAAGGGTTTTTTCTCCATAGCTGGAGCAAATTCAAGGACCGCGATGTGGTGGAAAATGTTTCCCATAAAGCCAAACTTCGTTTACCGTGAATTTCCGAGCATTCACTATGGCTATTCTGCGTCACGCTCGTTCTTCAAGTCGTCGGCCGGCGTGCATGCCAGAGCTACAGTGCCGTCGAAATGGTTCGCCAGAACATTTTCTGGGCTCTTTTTCGCAAGAAGAAATCAATGAGGACCACGAGATATTTTTCTTCTAAATATCCAGATTCTTTAGGATCATGAGGATATAAAACACACTAGAAAACGCAGCATATCAATCTTTTGAGGGCGTTGCTCAAGCGGAAAAATAATGCACTAAAAATCATTTCGGCGAACTCTTTTGACCGCTACTGTGTAACCTATGATCACCACACTTTTCCGAAGTTAGTTCGAAATCTCGATTTTCCCTGAAATTTGGCACATGAGGGTAAATCAGGAGTCCTGATCACGATTATGCGTTCGTTTTTGACGTCGGCGCCATTTGGCGCCAGTTTGGCGCTGCGAACTTTTTCGCCAATTTTTGGTAGAAAACCCATTTGCAAGGGCTATGACGGTCCTGAACAGTGAATATAGCGTTAGTTTTGAAGTTGAAGCCTTTCGGTGCCGATTTGGAGGAGACAATCAAAGTTTGCCGTGTAGCGGAGTCGAATCACCAAGTCTCTCCTGTAGTGCACAATTTCTTCAGCACTACCACTGTCAGTACTTCAATTTTGAGCGAATTCCACGCCGTTTTCGATATTATCTTCATCAGCACCCCTCAATATGCAGGTGATCTTTTGCGCGGCTTGCCCTGAAAGGCCTCCCTCGTAAGCCTGGAGCCATGTTTAACCCCCCCCCCCCCCCGAGAAAAAAATAATCGTGCGCTTCATGACGCACACTTACTTTTTGTTTTTATAAACTTTTAATAATCTTGATATACCCGCGTACACCTTCACCAATGAGGAATAGCGTAGCGTTAAGCACAGGGTTCCCAGGACCTGAACAGCTTCCTAAAATTGCTCATCTCCCACACTTGCGGTTGTTGTTTCGCACTGTCGAAATCAATCACCTACAGCTTCATTCACCCCTTGCGCCATAGATTCAGAGCAGAAAGGCGGGTTACAGAATTTTCACCAGCAGAAATCTCTTAATTCGAGAGATCATACTCGGAAACAGATTATACCTTCGCTCTCGCGCGTCAGCCTACACAATTCCTACCATGTGTGGCAGCGTGCGCCCTATGGTGCGCAAGCGCACTGAAACAGGGTCAACCGTGACGTTCGCACATTTTCAGAAATTTCGCGACCCCCTCCTTTAGGGGGTCTCGATGCGACCCCCCACCACCACCATGAGACTCAGGAGGCTCCCCCAATACAACCCTGCCTAGCCTACCCCGACCGCCACCCTCGCCATCATGGCTGTTTCTATAGTTTCAGTTGACACAGCCCACTCCGTCCCACTTCTCCTCCTTCTCCTCGGCGTCGAGCGGGCGGGGAGGGGGAGGGGGAAGGAATATGTGTGCAATGTAACTCAACCAACCAACCAACTACTAATCCCACTCCACCACTCCTGAGACCCTCTTCCCAAATCAACCACAAATGCGACCCCCTCGTTCGAACAGTGCGAACGCACGGTTGACCCTGCACAGAACCCTCTCGTCCTTTAGGCCGATGTCAGACATTGCGAATCGTCAGCGTCCGCGGTCGCGTCGACCGCAGATGTTAATGAATCGCTCGATTCGCAAAGTTTGGCATCGGCCTTCCGCGTTAAACCTTTGAAAACGACGGGAAGGTCGAAACATTAGCTATCTAACAGCCCTGTGACAGACGTATAAAACACATACAAACAAGGCAGATCAGCTTGCGTGTTGTAAGTGATAGCCCACAGGCCGCAATTTGCACAAGAACAGTTCCCAGTTTTGTTCTGCTGCCCTTCCCCCCTAACTTACTGGAAATGGGTAATGAGAACAGACTCTGGACGTGGTAGTCACCAGGACTCACTCGATGGTGCCTCCCTAAATCTCATTTAGCCCAGGGATAGTTCAATGCGATAAAAGAGGCCGCTGATATACTCACCATCGCTCGGGGACCCGCTTCTTGCTGATCGGCCATCCCCCAGTTCAGACAGCAAGTCCTCACGACTAACTAACGTACTGCGCTCGGCAGTCATAGCTGCCTATCTTAGTCTAGCGAGGTTTAGATTTGCTCCATTCCGCAAAACCAACGGTAGTGGTTGTGATAATCCTCGAATCCTCAGGAAAGGATACGCATGCTTCTTCCGACGCTTCACATCGGTCTAACGGGCGGAGCAAACGAGCTTGTCGCGCGCTCGTGCATGCGTGGAAGTCACTTTTGAATCACACGTCGCCGCCACTTAGTGTGGTTGGCGCTTTTTCTGCATTAGTAATTGTTTCAACTGCATATCGCTTTTATATTCAGCTGATAACTGCCCAATTAACGAAACGATACTGCCATTCCAATAACGGATGGTGAGTCTCCACTAAAACTCTTGCGCAGTCTACTTTTGAATTATCGTGAGGTGTTCACACTCCACGTGATTGGCTTAGAGGAAGCTATATATTAATGCAGAAAATTTCCCTTTTTTAAGCTGGAAGACTTGCATGTCTCCTTCAGATTTTCTCTACAGTTCTCCTTCAAAGTTCCGAACATTGGTAGCAAAACTCTAAGAATCACCGTCAACGCGATTCACCATCACACCATGCTGAAGCGTAGTGATCCTTGAAGATCAGTTTTCCTTCGTTTGGAACTCTACCGCTACTTTCCAGGGAATCGCCAGGCTCACTAGGGACTGTATGCTACTCTTCCCTAACGCTATTGAGGATATAAAAACGACTATTCATATTTTTTTTTGGCTTTTTAACAGTCTCACTGACTCTCTAGCTCATGCCTCTTTTACACACACACACACACTTCACACAGAAGGCTCTTTCATGTAGCCGATATTCGTTGGAAAAGACAAAGTAAGGACCTACGCCCCCTCGCGGGGTAAAGAAAACTGGCCCAGGGGATAATACGAGTGTGGGTCTCTAGTAAAGAACGCGGCTTTTCACCTCTCGCAGCGCAAACCTTCTTCCACTGCAGGAACCCCAGGTCCACTAATAATAGGAGTTCACTGCTGGGGCGGTATTCAATCCTTCCCCCAGGGGGATATATCCCCCTCCTCTGATTCAATCCTCTGGGGGGACAAAAAAGGGTTGCGTCATAGGACCTAGCATACCTCTGTGTTTCTACCTGCCAGACAGTTAGAGCAGCGCTACTACCTCCACTGATGAAGCACTCTTTCCCCTGAGGGGTCGCGCTGCTCTAACTGTCTGGCAGGTAGAAACACAGAGGTATGCGAGGTCCTATGACGCAACCCTTTTTTGTCCCCCCAGAGGATTGAATCAGAGTAGGGGGATATATCCCCCTGGGGGAAGGATTGAATACCGCCCCTGGGGCCGCTGCAGCGGGAAAATCTTCGCGCTGAGACTGCGTAAAAGTCACGTTCTGTCATAGCGCAACCACACACATCAATAGGTCAGTCCAGCCGTTTCAGTGAGGTGAGCAACATAGAACTCGTTATGAGACGGTGAGCTCAGAACTGTTTCCCACATCTGCTGAACGACGCTTCGAAAGGAGTTGTGGAGAGTTCATCTCTCACTGATTTGCATGCTATCCTTGTCGAAAGCCCATTAATACTCGTATTTTTCATGCTGCATCTAAAGACAACCATTGTTGCAGTAATACTGTCAAAATTATTTCTAGTTATTTTTCTGAAATGAGCAAAACAGCAAACTGAAAGAGGTCCGTCCAAGCGATTTCCTGTCTGGAGCCTGGACCGTTATCATCGCGCATTTCCGCTTCCTTCGTTAACGAAATCGTTTAATAGCTATGGAAAGTAGTTCCAAGTTCCGCGTCTCAAGATGTTTTTCCTTCCTGCAGGGCAGGGGATCGAAAAAGCTCTTCAAATTTATTTGTTTTCAGCGATATAGTTTCTTATTTTCAGCACTTATTTACTTTTCACACATGCATGCCTACAAATAGACCTCTCCTTAGAGCTGTCCTAGTTGGAAAAGCAAAAAAAATGGAGGGATTCTCTTCTCCTTTCCTATGCGGGTGTGGGGGAAGGATAGCCTACGACCCTGGTCTGTTTCTTGCCAGTTCGGCGGGGTCCACGTATTATGTACTTAATTCACCTTGAAACTTGAATGACCTTTAGCACAGTTTTGATTACTTTTTTTTCAGACTACAGTGTCATGCAAAGTTGATACCGCTCATACCGACATTATAGTGAGTTTCTTCCATTGATTCCAATTTTCGATTTCCGATTCATTATTTTTTTGTTTCCCTGTACGACGTACACCTTTAATGTGCATATGAGGGTGCCAGTGGTGTTTGAAGACGGTATCCTCAAAGGCACAACTGGGGCCGAAGTCGAGTGAACGATTCTCTTTGGCCTATGGGATAGACCCCTAGAGCACAATTACTGCTGCAGTAGATCCGTGCATGGGAAACGCTTGACAAGAGCGCTTGGGCCTCGCAAAGTTGGCTGCAGCTGCTGCAATGATCCCCGTCCGCAGCACGCTGTTGTCTCGCACCTTTGGGTTTACGGACTACTTGCACTTTCGTCCATGGTCCTGCCACGAATGGCGGAGAGCACAGACGATCAGAGAATGGCGCCTGGCTCGGCTCCAAATCCCAAGGAGGGAGGTGAGAGCCTTAGGACTAAGCCTTGTAAGGGGGAGGGAATCCGAGGTGGGTGAGCCAGTTGCATTGTGGCAGAAAGTTTGAATGTGTGAGATTCGCCAGTTGGTGATCAGACCGCTGATAGCATTGAGCGATGCAGTTTGCAGAGCCAAAGCGTCGAGTCGAAGAGCAACTCAAAGGGCCGAGTTTCAAGTAGTCCCGTCGCCGATCCGCACGCCTTTGCGCCTCATCCCGCTCCACTCCCCGCTCAGTCTCTTTTGCCCCAGCGCAGCCGCATCACGGGTGATAAGCCCGAAGTCTATTTTCGACGCCTCTTTTTCTGTTTTTCCTTACAGCGGGCTTCATTTCGTACCACTACTTCGCATTGCAGGCAAGAACCACATTGTTTTGGTCCGTCGAGCAGCGTGGCTTCTACTCAGCACCTCTCCTTCCGCACCTCAAATGGTGAAGAGTGTTCGTCCAAGGACTTCATAGTTTCTACTCTGGCACCCGTACTTGGTACAGTATACCCCGCCCCTTTCTGACGCCTCCCGAAGTATGACCGATGCAATACGAAACCCCGCTAATATGCTCGTCCACCTCTTCCTCGAATCGACGTTCTTTAAAATACATCTCAACCCTACCTTCGACACACTTAGACGCCTTCGATTTATAGCTGTTGTTTGTTATTCCGCGCATGACTTCCGCGTGTCGCGTAACGCAACATCTTGATTGATGCTTTGCGCATCTCATCGTTTTCAAGACCATTAACACTTCCACAGAACGGAAACCCTATGTGAATTCATGAACGTCCAACGGTGTTGGAAGCGTATCGGTCTCCGGTTTCTTATGTAAATTTTTCTACAAATTCTTAGCGTACATATTTCCAGTGGGATTTAATTTCGTCAGAGTTGTAAGGTTGATAATTCTTGCTCAATAACCAGTGCGCGTGTCATATTTGGGGCGACCATAAGTTTGAATGATCTTCAACCAATGATTCACCCCGATTATATGATCTTGCAGCATGACGCACAACTGAACTTTTTCGGAAATCGTTTGGCTACTTGCTCTAGTGACAGAATCGTCAAAATTTTCGAGGTAAGGTTTGCAAATCCTTTGCACCATCGATTCCCTCGCATCTTTTTCATACACATGCAACCACTATATTTTGATTTACTAGACAATCAAAAACATGCAATATATTTCACCTAATTTGACCATTCGTAGGTAAACCGAGCAATGTTACATAGTACGCAATACAGACGAGCAGTCGCTGGTCCATCTCGTCGCTCCCCAGTGTGGCCCCCCCCCCCAACTGATCATGGGCTCCATCAGACTTCGGTGAGTTGTTAGCTTCGGCAGCTCAAATGATAGGTCTTAGCTCGAATATGCACTTCGTTACTCACCCACGCATCCAGACAAGTTCCTTTGTGCAAAGGGTGTAACTCTTAGGAGATGTTGATCCTTGACCGAAGAGGTCTTCATCTGAAAAGCCGAGGATCTTGGGTGTCCTTGATGCTACCCCATTTTGTCAAGTGTACCACGTGAAACCTCAATCATCTATAACCTTCGGCTCAACACCACTTCACCGTGTTCTTAAGAAACCGGCTGTGGTGTCTTTCGGAAAACGTAAGTGATTCAGTCTTGCGACTCACTCTTCTGTGTGAAATTAGCAGAAGTTACTCCTCACTCGCTCAACACTCTCTGAGCAATTCGTCCTTCTGAACAGGAGCACAGGATGACGCAGGTCGGAAAGCAGCGGTCTAAGTGTCGCTTGACGGAATCCTCGACATGTCACAGGGGGGGGTCGTATTGGCCCGCTGGGAGGAAGAGATCGGGCCGGATTGACGCGGTGGGATCATCACCATCGGAGGACAAACATCAAGGGTCGATGCCAGGCCAGAGGATTTCCAATAACAATGTCATTCTGCCCACATTCGTGATTCAGAGATGTCCGCTTAGCAATTCTTAGTTACTTGTCCTCTGACGGTGATGATCCTGGTTTTGTCACCATACAAGTTAAACAATTCGAAATAATTCGCACTTTTTCCAAGGATATTTTATCTTTCAAGTGAGTCCTCGAAGGGATGTGAAGCACATGGCGCATCCCAGAGTGGGCTTAATTGGTTGCGCGCACTTCAACTACGGCTCTCTGAAGAAAGAACCTCAATTCAGGAAAAACTAAGAGGATTCTGAACGGATCCGTGTGAAATTACAGTTAGGAGTACACCATTCAAAAAGAAACACAGTCCTTCAGCGTCAAAGTTCTTCAGAACCCATTCGTGACAATGTCAGCCACCGGTGGCTGACAAAGCTCTCACTCGGGACAATGGCATTACTGTGGCTGCAGGGCTTGAAATGGAATTTGGAAAGTTTTCTTCCATGAAAAGAATCTTCATACCCTCGCTCATCTACGCCAGCCCTGGGCAGAGGAAATCTCCCTCCACTCGAATTTTATTGAAGAAAAATCTCCTGACGCTGCTGCTATTGCGCAATCCTGCGCGGTCGCGAATGTTAAACACCAGGTAACCCTTATAAGTGAGATACACTAAACTATTTGTTAGCACTTTCGGTTGGCAAGAGAGAGCAGGGTCATAGTTCGAATCCTGCCCTCCCCCATGTAGACTACTTTAGTATGTAATCCCCTCTGAAAAGAGCTATAGCCGTTGAAATAGGGCCAATGCAGCAAAAAAAAGTACCTTTCGGCGGTACTCGGGCAGAAATCCTCAACGTGGCCATTTCTTTATAATACTGAACGTATTTAGCAGCTCCAACAACCTCTTTAACATATCGACCGCAAATAATGTATGCTATACGTACGTTTATTGACGTTCGTATTTCCAGATTGCATGAGTTTGAACGGAGTTATGGCTTTGGAAAGCGTAAAAACTCGCACTCATCACGAATTTTCCTCGTTTAATTTTGCAAAAATCCTCAACGTGGCCATTTTTTGAGTACTGGACGTATGAAGCTGCTTTAGCAACCGTTTGATAGAGAAAATCTTCTAGTTTTGTCTGCCATATTAACTTTTCGAATTTGACGAAAATGAAGCAAGTTATGGCTTCGGAAAGTGTAAAAACTCGTGCTCATCATGAATTTTCCTCGTTAATTGATCTAAATTTGTTATTTCTTCATAAATTTTTGTAATTTCAATACTGATTAGAAAAAGCTCTTCACAAAACTCCAAATCTGCTTTCAGATTGAAAATTCGTCATATTTGAAGAAAGTTATAATCATTTGAATATTTGTTCAAATTTCAATAGTAAATAAGCTGCTCCACGGTCAACGCCAAAGTCCAGTCAACACACAGCTGGCGAAGGCGGTTACAAGGCTTCTTTCAACTGAAAGGGGGACGTGTAAATTGAGAACCATAATCTGTGTAGTACTAGAATTTGGTAAGTCTTGTGGAAGGAAATAAATAAAGAAGAGATGTTGTCATAGTATGCCATTTTTAGTGACTAGTTTGTCGTTTTTGCTCCTTTTCTCGTTTGCTCGTTTGGTAGGACTCATCATTAATGATCATTCTTTGACTTTTTTCACTTTTTTAGTTCCTATAAGAATTTTTTGGTGGACGGTGGGGTTGCAGGGCTCTTTTGAACATTTTGGGTGAGAATTAAACAACCTTTTCATAGCTCTGTTTTTGAAAAGGGTCGTTTCATGGACTTCGGCCTCTGGGGGAGGGGGGGGGGTCGTATTTCCAAATTTTCCTCGACGGTTCGCTTGACCCTGTCGAAGTGGCCATATGACCACTACTGATGGATGTGTTTTTGGACGCTGATCTCGAATCTGCTTTCCAAATCTGCCAAACGATTTTCCTGAATGGAGTTATGAAGGAAAGTAGTGCAGCGGCAGTAGTCCGGGTTCACGTGCGAGACGTCGTAGGATCGATTCCCTGGCGGTTCTCCCTTTGCCTTCGCTGCAAATGGACGAAAAAGGGCTCCCTAACCACGTCTTTGCTTCAATGCTTGTCTGTAGTTACCCGTGCAAAGACTTTGCGAGGAGTTTCTAATCAGTTTCGGCGGTACTTACTAAAGACTGCACATGGAGCCCACAGAACTCTTGGCAGACGTTTTTGCAGCAAACAAGTGTGATATTCGTGTTCCGGAGATAAAAATACCCCTAGGGACAAGTTTGGTAGCCCAATCTGAGTTTTCGACCAAATTTCGAAATATAGAGGGTATCTGTCTATCTATTCATCTATCATCTTTCTGAAAAGCGTAAAACAGTGTCTGGATTCTCTGTTCGCGTGATTTCAACACCCACATGGCATTATTTTCAAATTTAAAGGGTCGCCGTCGTCCAAAATAGGTCAACCCTGGAACTACCGGCTATGGATATGTAGCATCAATGAGTGACTCGCCCACTTTTTTGAAGTTAATTCAAAATCTCGAATTTTTCTAGAAATCGGCCCCAGGAGTTATTGGACTACTTGAACACAGATCTCACATTCGTTCACTCAAAAACGGCTGAAGCGCGCTCCGTATACTGGCGCGCCTTAACCTTATGTAGTGGCAAGCTGGGAAAAATCTTGTAGTTATGATTTCAAACTCATCAAAAGCAATAACTTGCTAGGGTCGACCAATGATGGGAGAATCATGTCTCACTTCTGCCAAATGGTCAGGCACAAAAATGCAAACGAAATGCACGAGGAGATCCGAACCATTGACCTCGAAATCCATAGTCCACCTGCTCTACCCACTAGGCCACCAGCACCCGATAACTCAGTCTCAATGCTTCGTTCAGAGCCGCTGCTGCTGAGGCTGATTCCTCACTCGTGTTAAACTGTGTGGGGAACAAAAACCTCCGTAACTCCGTTCAGCGAATCGTTTGGCAGATTTGGGAAAGATTCGATATCAGCGTACGAATCCACATACCGTGATCTTTTCATATGACCGCTTCCACCCTTCATTCCTTTCCTGGTTCGGTCATTCTTGCTCAACTTGTGACAGTATCTTCAGAATTGAATACAGTACATTTCGTTTAATCATTCCTTTCCTCATAATCCTGTAACTCTTCATGTTCCGATTTTTTCAGGAAAGTGATCATTTGGTCGGAAAATAATGGACGCTGGCAGAAATCACACGAATGGACTGGCATGAAGCCAGTGTTAACTCAGTCAGCTTTGCTCCCCATCTCG